AAGCTCAAGAATAAGGTATTACACATTTTCACCTTTTAAATTAGCTATTTTCCCTTTCGATTTAGGGGAACGTGTTTTTGTCGTTAATCACAAATTTCATTCTATTACGCTTATTTTAATTTATGTTGCGTACATGGGGTAAAAGTGGGAGAGAAATCGTTGCTGCTAAAAAGCAAATCTAATAACATGGAGGGTTCACATAATTGGAAAAGAAGGTGCAACTCACTAGGTCAAAATAGGCGTTCTTAAGTATACAAGCGATCGATATTTCCGTCCTCGGTGTACGGTAAATTTTCATAAGAATTGACAAAGTTTAATTACAAGTTTTCGTAAGAGCGGCGAATAAATCCATCCCCTATTTTATAAGCCGGAAACCGTGTTTCTCATAACTCAGGGTTTGTTAACCCTCAATACAAATTCTAGCACGGCGGTATAAAAGCTGTGACATATTGATATCGCATTTAGATGCCAATAAAAAATACCGCAAAGTGTTTCATAATGTATCTCACTTGTTACTGTTTTAGGGCATAGGATCTTGATACATTGGTAAAGGGAAATAAGGGTGAATTGGGAGGTCGATGCGATCTACTCTCAATCATGGCTATTTTTCCCTAGCTGCACGTTTGGCGGTTAAGAGATTCCATCATTCCGATCAGTGTGGCACTCCTGAGGGCCGTCGTAGTCACAGGTGAAAGATGCCAATGGCATCCTGAATAGACAAGCAGGCCCCTGTTCAACAAGAGACTACTTTCTTTTCACTTATGCAAAAAAAGCTTATTTTCGACTAATTTCGGCATTCGATAATTTAAGAAGAAAAAAACGGTTGCCTCTTAATTGTTCCTTAAATCAATGTACAAAAGAAATACCCACTTTCAAGGTACGTGGTGGTAAGGTCGTCGTTATTTTAGATGTGGCCCATCAAATATAATGATCTATTGTTTCAGTTACGTAAATATTACGTAATATCGTCGTGCTTTGATTATTATTTCAAATTACTGACCTTCTAGACGAAACATACTTCCCCGATTTAGAGTTACCTTTATTTACAAACATGGATCTTATTTACGAATCCCACTTTAAATATTTATACTACAAAGATTATGTAATAAATTAACGTGAACGAGATGTTTACATTCGAATGGGATCAAAAATTAGTGTCTAATTTTAACATCACTCAATGTAAAGTACAGTTAATGAACTCTAACAAAAGGCAATTATAATGCCTTTGCAAGATGAACACGATGGATAACGTATAAACCACCAACCCAGAGACAATTTAAATCTTCCGTGAACAAGGGAGACAGGCCAAAGGTCACGCCATCGCCCACTAAATCTGCACTACAACCCATTATGAGGGCCGAAACGATGGACCCCCTACATGCAACGTGTTGTCTCAACTTCATTCTCGAGTTACTGCCGGATTCTTAATATATAAAACTGTAAATGAAGATGTTTTTTATTTCCTTTTCAAATACTCGTTTGCTTTTGAAACCGACGAACGCCGTTAAAATACTAATTAAGGTTACTGCGTTTTATTAAGTAACTACAAAAAAACTTCGCCGTGCAAATTTCGCATTTTGTCTACTTTCGAGTCTGGAGGCTTTGATTTCATTTTGGAAATTATTCATTCTTTTTAAGATTTCAGTTCACTTCAACCGACGTCTCTGAAACTCTTTGGATGTTCAATAATTAATAAGTTTTTTGTTAATTATTTTATTAGTAAAGTAAAAGTTGTGTGTATGTACTTACGGGTAACGGGGTATCGTTGTAGTGAGATCGAAAATTATGCCGTGATGTATGTGGATTATTATTTTGCTGTGGCAAACTTCAGCCGTCACAATCGATATTCAGCAAAGTGAATTTTTTAAATGAAATCCTGCTTTTTTAAATTTTTGGTAACAACGCTTCCGTTAACAACAATAAAACTACCAGCAGTGCGGACTTCACTACGGTTGAATCTAAAACAAGTAGATTATCTATAAATTTTCCGGTAGTTCTAAATTTTTGATATGTTGTCTAACATTATAGTGTTTAAAATTCAAAATGTAGCTGTTAATTTTCTACTTTTTGCATCAACTCCCAATTACGTTCTTACGGTGTCATTATGTACTCTGTCCCTGCGAGTTATTCCTTTTAGGCTCCTGAGGTGCTCCTGAGGTATTTCATCTCCATAGCCTGAATCATGCTCTTTAGTGCTGTATTCAATTTCCAGGTCTCAGTTCCTAACAGAAGTATTGGCCTATATATTGTTCTGTACACTACCATCTTTGTTCCTTTACTAATTTCCCTACTCCGCAGAAAGTTTTTACTTAACAAATGGTATAGTCAGGCAGCACTGCTAATTCTATTATCCACCTTAACGTCAACATCAATCTCTTTGGATTGGCACTTAGTATTTATATACATTCACTTGTTCAATATTTTGTTGGTCCAGTTGTAAATGAGTGATTTTGTATGTTTATTTTTATGTTACTTTTCGGTAATTCTCCTCCATGTTTCCAAGTTTGTTTTTAGTCCATTTTCATTTTTTGCACATATTAAGTTGTCTGCAAAAAGACACTCCGGAAGTTCCACTGTTCTCTGTTGACTATACTCCACTGTCACTTTTTAGTGCACTTTCACTTTCAAAAAATAAAAAGTGCACTTTTGCGCTCCTTATGTCTGTCTGCCTGAGTCACAAAGGCTCCGGAACTACACTACTTACAGACTTGGTTTTGGCGTCATTCGATCAGAAATTAAAAATTATTTCATGTTTGTACGTTATAGAATGAAATGTCCATAAGGGCTATTAAAACCGAAAAAATAAATTTGAATAATTTATTTATTTATTTTATTTTATTTGTAATAGTGTTTGTGGACATTAGTAATGGCATCACAAGCAGAGATGACAGATTAGAATATATGTTTCATCTGCAATAAGGATCTGGAAGGAGTCCCGTCCTGTACATACTTTTTGTAAATCAGCTAAAAAAGTGCAAGTAGCGTAATTTTCTGCGATCTCATCAGACTCTTCAGTAAGGTTCATTTTTTGGTCGATTTCAGACAAGTGGACTTTTTTTATATTTTAGAAGCTATATTTCTTGGTGGTTTTTCCACTGTACCTCTTAATATTATCAAAGTAGCATGATTTTTCTCAGTAGCTCTGATGCTATAATCTTTCATAAATGTGTATTTTTCGGTCGACCTAAAACAAGTTGGCATTCCATCATAGCGTCAAGACTATACCTTTTTCGTATTTTTTTAAAATTTTTATTTTGGTCTTTATTTATGAGTGGGCGGGGATTCAGCCAAGGCTGCTCTAGCAACCCAATCCACTGTACATTTACAAATATCCATGCCTGAACCCGGATTCGAACCAAATTGATTGAACGAAATTAATCGTCTAAGGAAAATTCTATGAGACAAAATTCAATTTTTATTTCCCATTATGCTCGTAATTTATTGACCAAAGTTTAAGAAATTGGTGTTGATCAGAATGTTGTCAAAACTGCGGCAATGGAATTTTACAGAAAGGGTGTTTTCATTAATGAAAAAAATATGGACCAGCGAAAAAACTTAACAGACCGGACATTACACTTTTTTGCTAATTTTTATAAATAAATATCACCTAGAAGAATATTTGCAGTTTTTAATTAATTAATTTATCTTTGGTGACTAGTAATTTGATTAGAAAGGCAATTAAAAATTACGATTAGGGAATGCAATACCGGGATTGCGGGATCCCGAAATACCGGGATCCCGCAGCATTTTTGCGAGATTAATCCCGCACATAAATGGAGCGGGATCCCGCGGGATTTGCGGGACTGAGGAATTTGTCGACCAAGGGGACGACTTAAATAATTGTTAAACTTTTTTTCTTAAAAATGTACTATGATTTTTGAGGCACTTTAGAAGACTTTTTGTGCTTTACAGGTAAGGTTTTTTTGAGTTCTAAGTTAGACCGAAGGTACTTTTTTGTTAAATATTGTGATAATTAGCGATTAATTTTAATACAGAAGTTAACCGCACAAAATTGCTTATTTGCCAATTTAATTAAAGTTTTGCGAGATCCCGCAAATTCCGGGATCCCGCGGGATTAACATCTAACAATCCCACAAATACCGGGATTGAGATTTTGCTGCGGGATTGCATTCCCTAATAACTACGTATAGTTACTTCTTGCACTGGAATCTAAATTTACATTTTACGGAAAAATTCAAGTTGTTGCCATACAGTAGAATAGTAAAAAGGAATTGAATTTCTAATAAACGGCCAGTTCATTAATACAGGTTTTGAACTTTTTCGAACAATCATAGCTAACTTACAACCGATATTGAGGTTAAATGATTAATTTTAAAGCAAAAATAATTCACTATTCAAGAGGGCTACTACAATGAAATTGAATACTTCAATTGACCTTGCATTCGTTCTTAACTTTACTTTGTAATGGGACGCCAAAATCCCTTAGGTCGCAACCTTGGGTTGGCGGTTCTTGCAAAACCGCAAAAAAAGTTTCAACCAAAGCTCTAATGGTCACCAACATATTAATTCTAGATTTGTAATGTATTCATTCAAGACAAGGAAGTAAATTTGGAGAACTAATTAGAAACATAAATTACATCTCTGTTGATAATGGAAATAAGGAATACATAGTTTCGTAACTTGTTAAAGGCGGCGTCCTAGAAATATACAAATGATGTTATCCGACTCTTGCCAGACGTGAAATTAGTTTAAAGAACGAAACCCGAACTAGATTTAGTTTAGAAGTTTACACTTCGGACTTTTTAAAACGAGAATCCTGCTTTGTTTATTGAGTATTGTCTTCTGGCGAATAATTTTCTCGTTAAGGAGTTCTCATTTAAACAGTTTTAGATTAAAATAGAGAAACATCTTGACGGGAAGCCCCATTTGTACGTAAATTCCACTTGTTGTTTTACTTTCGTGTTTGTAGGAGTAGGTACAAGTATTTATTTATCACGACAGTTTATTAAAATCTAATTCTACTCTTTTTTACAGATCTGTTTTAACGGACCTTAACACAATGAGCAGGAGGTCTGACCTGCAGAGGGTACTGCTTGTTCTCCTGCTCTTCTGCTGTGTAAATATTTCCATAGTATCTTCTACAGGTAAGTTGTAATAATTATATCCTTTTTTAGGATTATTTTCATTAAATTTTGATTATACGAGAATACTTTGGAAAGTGACATCGTATCGTATGAAATGGTGATTATGTATGGAGTCTTATCCAACAGTTGTTTTATAGTACTTGTTAATATTTTAGAATTTAGAGTAGAATAAGCTCTTGAGATAGGTACTAGTAAAAAATAATGCGTAGGTTTTGCTCAATACAAGGTGAGCGAGGGAAAGCTTGTACACAGTGCAGTTAAACAAAAAATTATTGTTTTATTTCTTCAACTAACTTAGAATAATATGCAATTTAGGTTTTCTAAAAAGAAACGCTTCAGTCTAAAATCTAAATCATTAATGAAAAATAATGTCGTCAAGATGACGTCCGTTTTTCTCACGAAGGCGATTAGAAAATTTGTCCATGCATCTCTGAATCATTTCTGCGGAAATGGCAATGGTTCGTGACCCATTTTAAAATGGTATTCGTGGTTGGCACGGTTCCTCGACTTCCGACGTTGAACGAAAAGTGTCGGTGTGTCACTGTCCCAGGCTCCATAGCTACTGAAATCAGAAATGGTAAGTTTTAGGCCTTTAGGGGGTGCGCGGCAGCTATCCTAAAAACATTCGTCTGCTCTGGGTCAGCGTTACAGCCGTCGCAAAAACGTCACACCTCCCTGGCTCACCCTGTACGTGCTGCAGGAAAGTTTCTTAAAATGCTGTAAAACTGAACGAACAACTTGTGTTGGCTCTCCCAGTTCAAGTGGCCGAACCTTTGTGTTCGTAAGAATAAATCTAGCATTCGTCGACCTCGACAGTCAACTCTCTTCTTGGATGGTATTTTAATACAAAAAGCTAAATGAAGTCAATCGATGCGTTACTTTGAATCTAAGCCACTATTAAGATCATAAAATGGTCGTGGCGCGGAAATGTTAACAAGAAAATGTTCAGAGAAAATTTTACGGCTATTCAAATTGAAAAAAATTGATGCCCCTACAATTGCTAGATCCCAGATGGCCCAAATTCGCCGCGTAGCATGTACGAAATTATGTAAACGGAGTTCATACATTAATCACCATTATCGAATCCCTTATATTCTATTTATGAATGCGAATCAGCGTTTTAGAAAGTCTAATATATCAACAAACCAAAATGAACGGGTTGTTTCGATTGATCGTTAAAAGGCAAAAGATATTTACTTTGAGAACCATATTCTCCTTCCTTTTTATGTACATATCCCGGTTCATTATACATATATTAGATAGTGATTAATGCAAATTTACATAGGGGGCAAACGGAGATGCTATAGGAAATTTAATTAAGTTAAAAGGGTTGGTAGGTATAAAGAAGTAATTTGGAAAGATATGGTTTGAATAGGGAACAAAGTTGATTTCTATAGAAACGTGGGGAAAATGTATACAAATTTGATTTCCGACGAATTCTGACTGCTGAAAGCGCTGTTATCGCCCTTTACAGGTGTAGGTTTTGATGCGCGTGCTGTAACTGCGAGCTTTTGTTTCAGGATATCCGGGAACGTTACAACAGTGAAATATATTCTGAATGTACTTTACAACATCCTGTTAATTGCGTTGTTGCTCGTCCAACTTTGTATTAAGATCTAAATACAATGCAATTTAGGACTGCACGCAAACAGTGAAACGAGTAAAGTTTTACTTCTGAATCCAGCTAGCAAATTTATATATCCGTCCTCGAAAACAAATTTTATTTGTCTCTGTTATGAATGATTGCCTCTGAAACATTTACAATTTCGTAAGGTAATTAAAAGTGAAGACGCTCACAAGGGATTACTTTTAGATTATTTCTTTGTGGGATATGACAATACCTAACCTTGTATATTGATGGAGATGGATAGCATGAATGATTGAAAAAACGATCCTTTCATCTGTAAGACGCGGACGTCATCTAATCAGATTTACGCCAATTCAGATTTCATCTTGTCAATCGACTTGCTTGAATTCTCGATTTGCATTGCCCTTTGTTGTAATTTGCTTTGTCACTCTCTCGGCCTTTCAGCATATTACCCTTATCACACACATCACATCAATGTTCACGTTTGAAAATGACACTTCAGGCCACGTACAATATTTCGAAATTTGGAATTGGTTTACTTAATAAGCAAATCAGGATTGTCTTATTGTCGCATAGTAATTCACAAATGTATGGCTAACTTTCACAGCACCATACCACATTCAATCAACAACAAAGCTGTTATATTATTGAGATGTGTATAACTTTTAATTTCAACACATGACGCTAGTGTGAGAAGTTATAGTTGTTATAGTGTTAGCAGAAAAAATTTAGCGATGTTATCACAATAAAAGCAGCACTAATTTGTACCGGAAACCAAAGTACAGACAGACAGAACGGCAGACCGATATAATAGAGATTTGTTCAATTCGGATCCCTGGTGCTTCAAATCGTGCGGGTGGTAAAAACACATCAACCTAATATGCATGGTGTAGAATCTAAGATCCCTCACACCATAACTCTTTTACCTAAAAGATACCGAAAAAGTCTTAGAGCAGAATTGTACACAATTACCGTTGCCATGTTATTAAATAATTTTGACCACCAGGGGCATGCTGTATTCCAGTGGCATAGCAAACTTTTTTTTAATGGAACACCCCATATTTTTTGCAGATTTGGAAAGTAGTTAAAAAGTAGTTTTTTTTAATGTAACATGGATACCCATTACTTTAACGATTTCACTGTTATAACATTGTTTTTTCTAAGTTGCGCCGGCGACGACGTTTTACATTGAGCCTAAGACCTTTTCACTGTGACCTAATTTTTTATAGGTACTTTATCGAAAAACTAATATTTGTGATTGATCTCTGCCAATGTCATCTTTTTTAACTTTCAAATGGCACTCCCCTCACCAAATTACAGATCGATATAGCCAAAACTATAAAATTTTAACTGATACAAACAAAACCACAGATTACATAATAATATTTTTCGTACTTCCGAGACTAAAGTGACAACTTCACTCCATTATAACAAGTACTGAAATTTGGACGAAAATCCCGGAAGGATGAAATTACTAACAAGGCAATTTCAGTAGGTTGTTCTACATTCTGTATGTGGCACTACTTCTTAAACGCATCGTACTGCTGCTCATATAGTTTTTTTGGATTTCGGTGGTATCAATTCTTTACCTACTTTGGCTGCTTTTTATCAAAATGAAATAAACCTTTGTCACCCACGATCAAAATTATGACACTAGCAATGACAGTTTCCAAATTATTTTTGTTACCATAGCATAGGGTTTGTCGTACCAACGCAACGTTCCTATGGTAACTTGTTAAGCAGCGATTTTTTGAAAGAACGCGTTATCTAACACATACATATTAAGTGTTTCAGTTTCGGAAGTACGAAAAATATCGTATATACCTTGCGACTGAAGTAGTAGTCTTAATCCCTCAGGTAAATTATGGCCCGACCGAAGGGAGGGCTATAAACTTTACCTTCGGGATTAAAAATGCTACTTTAGTCCCGCGGTATATAATGTACTATTGTGTCTAAAGTCTAAAAAATTTAACAAAATCTGGTTAACATGCAACATGTAAAAAAGCGGGGTAGATTTCCAACTACAAAAATTGAAAATGAACACGAACAAAGGGGTAAGCGACTTTTGTAGCGAACCTCGAGAAGGAAAAGGGAATTGGCCACTGCTAATCAGGCGAAACGGGTCTCAGGCACTGGCGGGTACGATCATTTTTCTCTTGGCAAAGAACAATACTTATACACAAATGATATTTGCATAAAACAGTAAATGAACTGAAAAGATCGTTCACTCTCACACTTAACGCACTTAATGAAATAATACAGTGATAATATCACACATATAAATAAGATTCCTTTTTAGCGCATTTCCACAAAAATATAAAAAAATGCGCTATTGTGGCCACTTTGTCCGTCCGTCCGTCCGTCCATTCGTCCTCTCGTTTTGCGACGCTACTAGTTCTTTATCTTAAGAGCTATTGTTCTACTTTTTTCGCTATTTGGTTCGTTATGGTGTCGAGTCTTGCACCAAGGAAGGAATTTTTTCTGTACCGCTTACAAAAAAAGTTATTGTAAAAAAAACACAAAACCGTTTTTTACATGTTCCATAATTTTATACTTTTGCCGTTTATTAACGATCCTAGAGATCGTTTATAATTTTGCATTGCTGTCTGTCGTCTGCCTGTTGGTCTGTCCGTCTGTTCCTTTTTTTTTTTTATTGCCTTTATTTTATAGTGGGCGGAGTGTTAGCAATTTGCTACTCTTCCCACTCAACCCACTATACAATCACAAACAGCCATGCCTTACCTGGGATTCGAACCCAGGACCCTTGTGTCTATCTGTCCGTGTGAACGATAACTTTGTTTAGAAATGTCCGATTGCTTTTACATCTCCGTTAGTTATGAACTGAATTGCATGAAATTCAATATGGGCATAGCTTTAGCCATATAATACGCAATGCCAAAAGTTGAGTCGAATCGATTCAAAATTCACAGTGCCCTTTTCGCATCTCGACCATTTATAAACCGAATTGTAAACTTTTTTAATTATAAAAGTATTTAAATGAAATTTGATACATAGCCACTTGGAATAAATGAAAATCAAACGCCAGTTTCAAAATTTGGTTTTGCGCATGCGCAGTGCCAACTTTTTTATTTATGGAAGAATTTAAGCGAAATTTGATACATAGGCACATGGAATAAAGGAAAATCTAGCGCCAGTTTCAAAATTTTATTTTGCGCATGCGCAGTGCCAACTTTTTTATCTATGGAAGCATTATTATTATTATATATTATATTATATTTAAGTGAAATTTGATATTTAGGCGCTTGGAACAAAGGAAAATCTAACATTAGTTTCAAAATTTAGGTTTGCGCATGCGCAGTTCCAACTTTCTTATTTAGAAAAAGCATTGAAATGAAATTCTTCTCATAAACTGAAATTGAAGTAGCACGTCAACAATGGATTGCCCATGTGC